TTCTTTCATAATTGACTTTCACTTTAAAAAAAAGTAACTTATTTTATGTATCTATATTATACTGTAGACAAACGTAGACATACGGCACCACTCATAATAAGGGCATGTTATTGATGTATTTGTACAAATATTTGTCTGGGGTTTTAAGAAGAACTTGAAAGACAAGTTTCTTGTCTGTAGTTGAACATCTTTGTTTTAGAAAGAATTTTTTTTTTCTTTTACAACTTTTTGATATAATATGATGTCTCCTTGTGCAATGTATTATGATTTTTTGGCAGACAGAAAATGTATGGGGTTTGTGATATTTCTAGCATAAAAAAAAATTTTGAAGATGGGAAAAAGTAAGAAAATATGTGTTATGAGAATTGCTAAATTTCTATGACTAATTGATGGTTATTGTAGACCAGAAAGTTGACATATTGTGTGTTGCACCTATCTATTATTCAAGACTATACGTATGTTGCCATTTAGGTGTCTTTTGTTTATTTTTGTCTTGGGTTGCCATCTCATTGATGTAAACTCGCATCTTCTTTTCATCATGAAAATATGTTTATCTTTAAAATTTCTTATTCAGATCGATATGCATGCATGTGTCTTTTCAAAAAATGTGATCATAAAAAAAATGCAAATCTATGAAGTTGAAGACATATGTGCAACTCAATATTATTTAATAGCCGTTTATTTGTCCTTTGAAGATTTGTCGATTTTATAATCATCATTTAACCTGTAAAAGAGTTGCAATTTGTTATAATATTTGCAATAGATCGACCATGGATTATTTAAATTCACTTCGACAAACCAGGATATTCGCTTAATAGAGATAAATTCAACTAAATTTTGGACCATTAATTTGTCACAAAGCAAGCTGTTACTAGATCTACATTCCTGCCAAGTTACTGTTGGATCTGTTCATTAGTCAGCCATCTTGAAAATTTGATGGGTTGTGCTACTTTTGTTGCAAAATTTTGGTAATTTAATCTTAAAGGGTTGCTGTTACAAATTATCATGGGAAAATTTTACTGTAAAATATGTAAACTTGATCAAAAAGGTTTATCTGTATTTAATTTTAGATTATTTCAGAAATAAAGTCAAATTATTGAGAGAGATTTAGTCTGATGGGTGGTTGTTTTGAATAAAAACATAATAATATCACCAACATCAAAAACTGTCTGATTTCAACGTCCAAAGATGTAATAATAGGTGGCGCTTTGACAGTTTAATTGTAGATACTGAATTGTAATTTAAAAAACATTAAATTTTCAATCGAATCATCCTTAATTGAAGTATATTTATCGTCCCCCTATTTCTGATGACAATAGCGCTATCAAACTTAAACCACATCAGAGTGAGACACTTTTGTTGCAAATTGTTCTCTTGTATAATGTTGAATTTCATTTTGTATACCGCAGTTTCGATTTCAATAAAAGGGGCGTGAATACTTGCCTAGTTAACACTTGAAAATATTTTTACTTAAGCGCCTCTCAGTCGTATATTAAATATAACATTTAATATGCATTGCAGGTTCATTGCTTTTCAAATGAAAATTTTTTGAATTGTAGTATTTTAAATCGAAACATTGGGCATCTTTGAGTGTTCGGAATTGTAAAAAACATTTATTTGAATTCAACACTTGAAACGTATTAGCAGAAATGAAATTCGATTTGAATTGTTGACTCAGATAAATTGTAAGGACCCTCGGTGACACTTTATATGATCTGAATTGACTTTCGTCATCACTTTTATGGTATCCTCTTGGTTAGAGGTAAGCTTGAATGCAAAGTCTTGTTTACATGGGGCACAAACGTTATAATGATGTGGCATATCAGAGCTGGCTTATTGTTCTTTCAAGTGTTATGAAAATATTTCAATAATTTTCTCAAGGTTTAAAATGGTTTTATGTCTTCTAGAGTCTAGTTTACCTTATCATGACAATGGAACGTTTCATTATATCACGGAATTCCTCTCATGGCCAACATATAAAATTTCATGATCCTACAGAATATTTTCCAATGATGGGTTCTGGATATGCAGTAAGGGATGGGGATAGGGGCATATGATTTGACATCATAAGAGATGATGTAAAGCCTGGCACCACAAAGCAAGAGGGATTGTCCTTGTTGAAGTCGCGGATTGGTTTATGAAGCTCAATTTTAGGGGTTTTTAAACTACATTTGAAAATACCATTGGAAAGCACCAATACTTCCAGTATAATAAAGAAATTCCATATAAAACTTTGTAGTCTTCCCGCAAGGAATTATCTCTCCATAAATTATACCTTTAAATTATGTAAGACATCAAGGGTTTCAAAATAAGGTGATACAAGGTTCTCTCACTCATCTAAAATACATTTTTGTATTTGCCTAGAGTATCAAGATTTTATCTGAGTTCTAAAGTTGCATGTTCCTGGAAAGAACATTCTAAATAAGCTTTAACCCGAGGGTATCATCAGCTCAGTAGTCAGTACTTCGGTACTGACATGATTTTTAACGAACTTTCTAAAATTGCCCGTTTTTATAAATTTTGAAATTATAAAAAGCTAAGGTTTGAACTCCCTCAGGCAAAGTTGGCCTTAGATGGATTTGGTTATTTTTTAGGTACTTTTTGGTTTATAGCTCTTCAACGTTTTCGGTCCTTATACATCCTTGGCTTTCAAATATTTGGCTTTGAGAGTTCCTGATGAAGGTAAATCCAGAAAAGGGCCTCGGACGTATGGAATTTATAACATGTTATTTTCATTTTTTAAGACACTGGACTACTGTTGATCATTTAGAAACCTATGACAAATGCCTTAATAAGTCTTTAAATGTTTTTTGCCACTTAATTTTATCTTATTTACCCAAAATCTTCTTAGAAAGTTATGTATTCCCTTTTGACTAATTAATCCTAATTTATTCTAATTGGATTTATTAATTAAATCCCTACCATTCATTGTCATGAATTATTGGATTAAGATTAACATGTATGAGGAACGAATTGACTTAACTTTACCCAACATTACAACACTTTCTCAGCAGGTGACTTAAGAGTATTACTTAAAGGTTTAGCCTGTTTGTTTAAAGGATGAAATGTTTCTTTTTTCAACTGTTTAAGGCTTGTATGGTGTCCATTAGTCTAATAATTATTGTTGAAAACCTTTGGGAAATATTTTTAAGCTTGTTTGGTTCTGTTCATGGCTCATTAGGTGTTGAATTGAATTTTCGTGTAAGGACATTAAGGAATTTGTCAGCGAAGCTTTTTTCGAAAATGAGACCAAAATTTCTCGTTGCTTGAAGGTAAGGATTATATTTCTCATTTTTCTAAAACTGGGAGTATTATATATCTACAGAAGTATAAGTCCATATGCAGCAGGTTAATATTGTCTGAACCCCCTCTTTTTTCTACTTTTTAAAGGTAAAATTGCTGTAAAATAACTGTCACTAAATTTCTGACTTCCAACCATTGCTCTCATTGAAGTTTATTTTAGAGGTACTTCCAAGAAAATTTTACTTTGAATCAGAATAAGAAAAACCTAAAAGATTCGACTACACTTCAATAGGAATTCATTGTTACTGTAAATATTCAAAATGAAGATGTGAAAATTTCCGCTTTGAATTTATAAAAAAGATTGGACTTAAATAACAGGTCAGATAATTTCCTATAATCTTAGATGACATTTCCATGGACAAATATGTAATTCACCTTTCCTTATGTAATTAACAATTTGAATTAAAAACCTCCATTTCAGTAATAAAATCTGTATTTTAATCTTTCGCTATTGACACCATAGTCAATGAATTTCGCCTTGATATAAATCTGAGTTTATCGGAATATCAGTTTCAAGTTTACTCTCTGTTTAGAGATTAGATATTGATTGTGCAAAAAGGTCAAAACCCATACAAAGGGTGTTATCTCGTAGCTTTGAGTACCATCAATTTGAGATCTTGTTGATAGCCATCATACTCGTGGCGATAGTATTGTCTTCTGCTTAATTTCCGGCTATCGTGTGCTTTGTCTGTGGTCAGCGCCACTGTCAGATTTGCCTCGTTTGATACTTTCCTATCTTTCAGACACTTTTACTTTTTTTTTCTTTTTTTTTTCATGTCAGTGGTTATTAGGTGCATCTTTTGTTGGTATTCGCTCAGATTTGTCACATCTTTTATAGTTTTTACTTTCTTAATTAAAAGGGGTGAAAGTCAAGTATCATGTAATAAATGTAATTTATTTAGAATTGGTTTGTAACCTTGTTTTTCTTTAGTATCAAATATAGATATATGTTTTTATGACTTGATGCTTTTCAATAATTTGACTCCAATTTTCTCATAAAATATGGACTTCAAACAGTTCAATTAAGATTTAAAAGATGAAATAAAAATGATTAAACTGAACACTCCCAAAGTATTATTGGAAATAATTTTTTTCTCTCCTATTTTAAAAACTTCAAAACTTTAATTGAATTAAAATTCCTCCAAATTTAATCACAAGAAACAATTTAAGACCAAAAGTACTCAAATGTATAAATATTTTGAATATAAGTGTATATCTGTTTTCAATAAGCCTAAAAATAATTAAACTTTTATGCCTTCAATCAATTTTGTTACAATGAAAAGTACAAAGAAATTAATATTTCCTTATCTGCAAATTAGTAAAAAAAAATTGACTTAATTTTAACGATATCCTAGCTTTTAATTAGCAATTAATGAGGCATTAGCAAAGTCTTTCGTGACTCATACCAATTTTTCTTGCTAGAAATTTATACTTGTTTGTTTTGTTAAAAGATAAGAGACAATTTTTCGGGCCACTTTCGCTGCTATTGTTTCCGTTCAGTGTGACGCTTTCGGCATAACTTTCACTGACTTTTGTATTTACAAGAGATTTAAATACCTATATATGCCATCCCGCTATAATGCTTAACAATAATAACCAACAAACAAAAGAATTATCAACCCCTTTCCCTACCTTTTGTTTATGGTTATAATTTTCGACGTTTGAGGGTCGATCGATAGAAAAACATGAATCGAGATATGTCAAAAAGTTAGTGGAAGAGAATTAGATAGTCCAACAACATAAAAAATGGCTGTGTTTCAGTCTAACATGGAATTAATAGAAATTTACAAGAAAAAGGATTTATTTGCAAACTGCCATATATAGTTTAATGTAAGTACATTTTATATCTCCTTTCACAAAATAGATGAAAGCAAAATTATAAAAAACTGCATGACCAATTATGTTTCCATGGATCAACAAATGCATGGGAACAGTATTTAGAAAGGCTTTTGTGCAAATAAATATTACATTAGTTTAAAATACATATCTATTTGAAATAAATATTTTAAATAAAACAAAATTACAGTTTGGTATTGATTTGTGTATAATTAGCTAGTGCATTGTTATACGGAAATTGCAGCTTTTCATCATTGTATACCTGAATTTCCAAAAGAATTTTGCGCCTTTTTGCTTGAAATAACATTTTAAATGCAGCATGCTATGAAATGTTTGAATTTTGCAAAGGATTTTGTCTTTGGTATAAAGAAAACATGTCCTGTATGGTAAAGCAAATTTTGGCCCCACAGGAAATCACAGTTTCTACGTGTTCCATGATTCATTGGATGTGATGTAACAATAAGTTGCATGCTGTTACAAAAAAAAACAATTAACAAAGAGAAACAAGTTTGTTTTAAATAATTGCAGAACTCAAATTACAGATAAAATCGAAGAAATTAAACAAAACATCATGGATACGACAACTGAACTGAGATCAATATATATACCAATAAATAGTTATGCAATAACAAAAATCGAAGAGCATTGAAGTTTATGTTCCGAGAGATAATGCAAACATCAAAGGTTTAGTGTAAGGATAGGCAATGTAATCATCATTTTCCAAATACTTATATTTTTTTAGATTTGATGAAACTTTTCTTTGATAAAGTTGAAATATGTCGGGGGGGGTCTCTATGGCAGACTGGTCTAAGTAGTCCAACTACTGTATCACTAGCCTGTCAACACTGAGATTTTGAGTTTGAGTCCCACTCGTGGCAGGTGCGTTCTACTCTAATCTTAATTGACTAAGGATTGTCAGTTTTTCCTACCGACTGTCAGTGGTTCTTTCTGGGCACTCAGGCTTCCTCCACAAATAAAAACTGGCCACCATGAAATAGCTTACAGTGCTGAAAGTGGTGTTAAACACTAATTAATCAAATATCTCATTATCTGTGAACTGTACTGAGTTCTCAATAAGTGGTGATTCGAAGGTTTTGACCACCAAAATCTTGCAAACAAACATCACAATTTTAGTATTTTGCAATAGAAATAACAGTGAGGACCAGCAGATTTTCTTCAAGGAGTCGGACACAAGGGGGAAAAAGCTTAAGCTATTTATGTTATCAGCTGACCCCCTCAAATAGTTGTTGCAAGGGTTCTTTCACATGAAAAGAGCACTCTCTGCACCAGACATCATATTAAACTTCCTATTTCAATTGGACATAACTGCATATTTATACATTCAGCACAGCCAACTAGACACCCTACTTTGTAAAGGGTTTTACTGTCATTTTGGAGAAGTATAGGTGACAATCAGATGCAGATCCATGATTTTGAAAAAAGGGGGGGCTGTGATCCACAAACTAGACGAAATTTGTAGTGGAAGCGGTAAAAAGTCTGGATTTACTGTAAATAAAGCTCCATAAGGGGGGCCCAGGTACACCCCCCCCCCCCCCTTAAATCAGCCCCTCACAATATTTCAGTATTTAGGGGTAGACAGTTGTAATCTTTTAAAGTTGTGCTTACATCAACAAACTAATAACAGTATGGGTTTTTTCATTGTTGAAGGCCATATACACGGTATAGTTGCCTATAATTGATTACATCCTCTTCATTTGAACTTGGGTGGATAGTTGTCTAATTGGCAATCATACCACTTCTCCTTATTTATATATAAGTCATTTACTTGCATAATGCTAAAACCAAATAATTTAGAAAGATGAAAAAAATTTGTGTGTCTTTGTCTAATGTTTCAGTGGCTAAAATACCTTAAATATTTGATGAACTTTTGATATGGTGGCCTGAGTATGGACAGGTGACAAGTTTCTATATTATTATAGATTTTAGCCATAAACCTCTAAAAACATCCGTAATTGATGTTAAACAAGTCAATAAACGTTGGAGGTGGGATTCTCCACTATGTGCTAAAGAGGTTCAGGTAAAAAATTTACTAATGGACGCATCGCTTGTGGCGATTTTTTGCTCCGTCGGACCATATCAAAGAATGAGAGTTGAGACCTAAATCATCTAAAACACTCAATCATATAATTATATCAGTCTAAAACTTCAATCACACGTCAGCGGGTTTATACCTTCCATTAACATTAAAAACATTAAAAGAAAAAATTTAAAGTTCCGCGATTTCGAAAATTGCTCCTTGATACAAATGCCGTGTTTCTAAATTGCAATGGTGTGACTCAACTTATGTTTTTAAAAGAGAAAGAACACTTTTCAGATTGTGTTCTAAATACTCAAGGATTTTAAACAAAAGAAAATAATTGTACATATATCGGAAAATTGTTTTAACTGCCAATTTTTTCGTAAACATGGTTTGGACTTGTAGTGCGAATATGGGGATATGACCATACTGTGATAATGTTCAACTTTAATTTAAGGATTAATTTTACATTGAAAAGATGAAATTTAAGGTAGGCTACTTAGTGTTTTGTTAGAATCTTTTAATTTTTATCTTAATTTGAAAATTTTGAAAGAAGGCATTTTGAGAATGTCATTGAACCCAGATCAGCAAGTCTAGTGCTTTTGTTTCTTGCAATGAATTTAATAAATTCAGTAAACTAGAACCATAATCAAATCTTTGAGAAAAGTTAAGCTGTGAAAATCAAATTTTATCACACTTGTAACAATATTTTTATGGAAAAAATTAATATGAAGGATATTTTGTATTGTCTTGATCTAATATGACATCAAGAGAAGATCTATGTATATTTAGATGTTTCAATAATTATTTGAAAGTAATAAATAATTTAACTGGTCATTGAATAAAAACATCCAAATCAATATTGAAAATAAAACAAGAGTAAAGCATACATTTAAAAAAAAGTAACTGGAATTAGTGGATAAGTGCTAATAAAGGGATATTTAAGGGGTTCTCATCTAGATTTATTGAAAAATGAAATATGCCACAAGCTGAAAAATTCTGAATTTTTGTGAAATAGATAGTTTGATGGATCAGACATAGAAAAATTGTCGTCCTTCCTCTTATAAAGTTTTGAGATTTGGAGTTTTTGTGTAAAACTAGACTTTAGCAAAACAGATAAAGTTTCTTATATCATTTAAAATTCTGGTTCTATCTTTGATATTGCTGGTATACTGTTTCATATGTAATATGATCAAATTGTTTCTTTGAGCTATTTTGCCATAGGATACGACTCAAATATTGAGATGTATTTTTGTATTAGATAAACAATCAAGAGACAAACAACAGTATACAAAACACAACATAGATAACTAAAGACTGAGCAACAAGAACCAATTGTTATATGAAATAAGACTGTATAATTCTGCCAATTTATAAAGGTCGTAGTTTCTCTTATAAAGTTTTGAGATTTGGAGTTTTTGTGTAAAACTATACTTTAGCAAAACAGATAAAGTTTCTTATATCATTTAAAATTCTGGTTCTATCTTTGATATTGCTGGTATACTGTTTCATATGTAATATGATCAAATTGTTTCTTTGAGCTATTTTGCCATAGGATATGACTCAAATATTGAGATGTATTTTTGTATTAGATAAACAATCAAGAGACAAACAACAGTATACAAAACACAACATAGATAACTAAAGACTGAGCAACAAGAACCAATTGTTATATGAAATAAGACTGTATAATTCTGCCAATTTATAAAGGTCGTAGTTTATAAAACATAAGTCACTATGTACTTAACTACATCAACCTGGAAATCTATATAAACTTAGAAACCCCGCATCCCCAAAAATAGAAACTATTTGAAAACAACCTTGCTTTATCTGTATTGGCAAGCAGTATATATATTATATGATGTTAAACATTTTGACACTTAGAAGATTGTTCATCTGGTATTCTGACTCCAGAAGATAAAATAATAAGAACTTGATCTTGCATTAAATGTCCCATATTGAATATTTATATATAGGAGTTGATAAAACTCCTTTGACTCTGAGCATCTCAATCAAGGTCAGCTATGTAAACATCTAATTTTTTCTGGCACCCTTTTACAGAATGTACGTAAACTACAAGTTTGAAACCTTAAATTTTAGAAGGTAGAAATTTTGTTTGGTATTTGTATGTTATCACATGATTTTTCATTTGTTATAAGGTGGTACATAACACTACAGGGAGATAACTCTGTAAAAATCAGCTAAACGTTTAATCACATTCTATTGTTATGGAAATATTAAGCTTCTCAATGCTTAAAATAAGTGTTTGTCAAACTGCTATACAAATGTATATCCAATGAAATTTTTCCGATAAAGTGTGTGGTTCAAGTTTTTTGAAATTTTTATATTTTTGTCAAAGGGTCAAAGTAAATATTTTGTCAAAATTTTATGAAAATTAAACGAGCCAAATTAATTTTAGCCAAGGTGTTTGGTACCACCTTATGAGTAATAGGATAGCTTTATTTGGTTATAGAATCATTGCAACATATTCATATCTACCATGAATTTATTTTTACAAAGTCTATTGGTCAGCACTAAGTTGTTCAAGTTAGGTCCGTTCAATCGTGAACTATAATTGGGATTTATAAGTAAACTGTATTAAACTTCAAGGATTCCAAAGTTTGCTGCATTGAATACAAATAAAAATTGTAGGGAACGTGTCATTAATCAAACTGTACTGTCCTTATATATCCCTACTTCCCCCTCCCAAAATCTATGGTTAATTTAAACTGAGTGTAGATGTAGTGTTACATACTATTAATGGTCTTTTTAAATCCATAGTAACAAAAGAGGTGAATTAGAATCTATATTTCTTTATTTTGTGACAGTTTTCATATCACACTTTTGTCAATCAGCTTTTTATAACACCTTTCATATAGTGCATTCTACCTTTGATGTTTGATTTCCCACTTACAATCTTGGGATTTATTGCCAGAAATTAAGTAAATACATATAT